CAGACAATATTTGCTATACACTACTTAAACGGCTTCCTACATGTTTCACATCTCCCCCATCATTTTCACATCGGACCCTACATTGCAAGGTTCTAAACCAGAGAGTTTAAAGTTCACAGTTAAGAACATTCCAGGAAGCTGAATTGAGGTGATATCCAAAACTACTGACATGTAATGTTACTATGTAGTGGAAAAAATATGGGTTTGTAGAATACTTTTCTCAGGAAAACTGATTATTTCAATTTTTATTGTGAGATAACTATATCAATATGGCTAAAAACCAAGGTAAATATGTCATGCTAATTGGTTTCCTTTATGCTACACTTAATGAACATTTAACATTTAATAAACATGTTTAAGAAAATGGATGAATAAAAAAATATAATTTTTGTATCTTTGATATGCTCCCTGGTACATTCTGAAAGATAACATCTTTCCAAAGACTTCTAACTTCCTATTTCTGTCTCATACTATTCTGCTTTATTTCTAAATTCAGATTCCCATAATGCAACAAGGTTTTTAATACAATTGTGGTTTGAGAAGCAGGATTACTGAAATGTTGCATCCAACAAGTAAGTGTTGCAGATACAATTATTTAGTCTGAATTGTACTTGTATTGTATTGTATCCTTCACTGACTGACTTAGAGTTGCTCCTAGAGATTATGATGTAACAGTCAACATCTTTGTTAACTGAAACAGCCTGTTGGCAGCACATGCTATCAAAAAGCTAACCATTTATTCTCCCAATGTTTTGTTGGCACATGTGTGCACTTAACAACCACCCATTTGCTGATACTGGCAATAGCACAGTCCTGCATGTACCATATGTGATCATCTTTTTTATTGTGGCAATTTCCCTTCTTGTACATAATTAGGTACTTCACTGAAGCTACCCAGGTGTAGTAGACAAAGAAGAAATCGTGTTTCTATCAATCCAGATTTATTTTATATACCTTTCAAGGAAAACCACCCTCAGTTCCATGCCTTATGGAATAAATAAGGTAAATTCATGCCACCAAATTAGAGCAATACCTTTTAAGCAGCTGTTCTCTTAGGCCAGCTGGCAAACATTCAGATTGATGAAAACGTGTAATAGCAGCAGATTCTGGGGATTTTAAAAAGGTGATTTGACAATTAAGTCTAGGACCTGATAGGGAATATAGCCTTTCCACCACTTTGACTCTTTTTAAGATGACATAAAAGGAAGGGAAATGACACTTTGATTGCTATGTTTCTTTTGTGTATTATGTGTGAATGGGTGAAATGTGCTAGTTTACCCAAAGTAAATCCTTAATGCAATAGAAACTTAATTAGTCTGAGCATTTCATATTGAAAACTCTCACTAGACAGAGATATAAAGGATTAGAATTTATTCTAAGAAAATTAACACTATATCTGCATTATTGACCAGGTCAATTAGGATAGGAACAAGCCATCAGTGAGTTCTGTGTTCATGCAAGAGCTACGCTTGGCAAAAACTGTAAGACATACCATTAAGTATCCACAGCCGCATTTGGGTTCTAATTTTAGTGGAGCAGGAAGCAGGAGGATTCTCACAATATAAATTAATCAGATCTAATTCATGCATAAACGGGCAGCTTGTGAATAATGCATTAAATGCCTTTACACATTCCTCTCTATTTGCAAAGCAACTGGAGATAAAATGTTTAGCGTATTTTTGAAATCACTTTTCAAAAGCATAACGTGGGTGTAAAGGGGCTAGAAATAAAAAAAAACAACAACATGAATAAAGGAATTAAACCACAGTTTGCAGAATAAGAAAATTGATTTCTTTATTACCATTTAAAACCAATGGCAGGGATAACAAACGGTCTGCGGGAACTGCGCTCAGTGTTCAATAGTAAAGCTGTAATGTTCCAGAGGGGGTATCGCCCTGGTGTTGCCCTTACATATACAGGCGTGTTTAGATATTCCATGGGAAAGAAATAATGGAGCCAGCTCCTCAAAAGATACACATGGCTGTTTCTTTGTTGGGTTTGGATGGCTAGGAGAAGAGACTTTAAAATGATTCAAGATTGTATCAGATGTCACAGACGGTATTCACACTGCTTGGTACTGGAGCGCATATGGCCACCATTGCAGGTGGTTCCAGCCGGCTTACCAGCGTGGTGACGTCACCGCCCTTCCCTGTGAATAGCAGGGACTGCAGCCGTTGGACTGAAGGGAGATTTCCCATTAGTTCAAGTGGCTGGGTCCTTGTTGAGTGACACCGGAGGCCTGGGTTTGAGTCCCCAGTGGTGGGGGCCTGGCCTGAGGTGGCAGCGGTGAGGGTGCATACCCACATGAACCTGAGAGCACTACAGTACCAAGTCCATTTCTCACGACTGGGTTTTGAAACCTGCAAATAGTATTCAGCAGAAAGTTGAGTAGTATTCAGCAGAAAGTATTGACAGCGGTCCAGACAGGAACACAGGAGTTATTAGATGACCAGCAGCATCCCTTTATCTATAGGCCTCATCTCATCCTCAATTTTTCTGTGTGACCTACATTTAATAAATTTTACACAGTGTGTTTGTTAATCTGATATTTTGGTCCTGCAACATGGTTTTAATTTTTGGAAGCCTTATCACCATCTTGAAAATGTAACTAGCATCTTTTATATTATTACTAGATAATGGTGCCCTCTGGTGCACAGGCCCAATACATACAGCCAAATTGTACATCACCCACTCAGGAGTTCTGACATTCTAAGTTAATCTGCAAAGAATATCATATCATATACATATCATACAGTATAAATACAGAGTCCCTATCAAATGTAGAAATGAAAATCTTAGGGCTTATCTGTTACAGACATTGTGGCTTAATTGTGACTGATATGGCCAGTTTCTCATCTTATGTTGTTAATACATAGGTGTTCAGCTCCACTTGTGTCATGTTTTGGAATAGCCAAACTCTTCTTCCAGCTGATGTCTGAACACACTTAGCTCCTGTGATGTTTGTACCCACCAGCTGAGTCTTAAGAGTGCAATCAGTGTCTGGATAAAGAATATGGTTGTGTCTAAAGTTAGGTTTAGGCTTGTGTGTGGATTCCCTATATGTCTAGAGTTTTTTTAAGCAGGAGGACTAAGAACACAAAATGACATTCCAGCCTCCATACATGACCTAGATTTTTGTCAATGAAATCTCCAAGCAGCATTGCTGTGTTTCTTGGAGAATAATACATGTTGCCCTTTTTTCAGCCATCTTCAAAAATCTTTTTCTTCACCTTAAAAATACAACTGAAATTCTGTTTAGTTTTTAATTTGTGGCTTGTTTAAACACTTTTAAAATGGTAATGATTATACTGACTAACTGTAATCCCTATATTAATCATAACCCTTATGAAAATACCATTTCAAAACTGAATTTATCTTTTGTCCAAAATGTTATTTTAAAAAGCAAAATATTACCTAACGTATCCCTATGTCAGTTTATCTGGGCTTTAGAGACTTCATCTATCCCTAGATCAGCTAACTTTAAATCTCTCCCTAATGGAGGTCTACACATAGAAAAACAGTGTTTTTTTTTTTTCAAAGCTTTAGGGTTCAATTAAACAAACAATTAGATGTGTATTGAGTACATTTGAATAATGGTGGTCTTGGACTTCAATATACAGGTGTAAGTATCAGTGGATCATTCTTCTAATCCAACTTTGTCCCTGTTACCCTAGTCAGAAAGTGAGTTCAATGCTTGCTGTGAACAAATATGAGGGGGAGCAGTACTGTATAATATCACTCTGTAACAATCCAGGCACACCCATTACATCATTCTATGACTTCATCTGAAGCTCTACATCACTTTTAACCATAACCCAGTCCCAGTCTTTCAAATGCTTCAAACTCAGAACCCAGATGACACACTCCCCAGAAGAGATCTATTTTCTTTGAATATTCCATTCCTACTCTTACATGAACAGTCCATTCAACCAGAAATTCCTTGATCCATTTGATTATACAGTATACAGTATGCTTTTATTCCTAAATTGTGCAATTTCATTAGAAGTTCCTCTTCTCATTAAAGTGTCATAAGTCTTTATTGATAAAAAAAAAACTGCCACCTAAGAAAAGCTTTTTTTTTTATTCAGCCCTTTAATCTAAAATGTTCTCCTTTTCCCAAACCCACTTTAATAAGGTGAAAAAAATGGTGACTTTACAAAAAAATAAGACCTCCTAATCACAATTTTTCCTATTAACTTGCATGCATTTGTTGCCAATGCAATAGGACAACATGGGGCAGAACAAGACAAACTCTTTCCTGGCTTCCCAAATTGATTTGACTATAACACACCGATTTCCATACTATATTAAACTGACAAAAACTATATAGTACACCATCCTCATCTTCCATGTGAAAACATTTTGTATGATCTTGCTCCTTACTAGATGTTTTTAGAAATAATAATTTATAGATCTAAGATATAATTTAGTATTAACTACAACTGTTAACCTTACTTAACAATTTTGTTAATGAGTTAGCTTTTTCTAAATTTGTTTTATCAATATCTAAACCTTTTAGTTAATTTTCTCTTATTCTTAATTTTCTTAATTCGTAATTCAGGAATATTCTTAAATTTACCTACACCATTTATTATCTTAATTTAAACCCCAAAACATCAACCACAGTATTTTCCTGAAGAATCACAATAATTTATTTTCTTTTATGTCTTTTATTGCATGTTTAATAACCCGTTGAGCAAAGGCTTTCTCATTTTTACACTACATAACTCTCTCTAATGTCAGGTTATGCACGTCGCATCCTTTCTTTATTGTCAAAGCACAGACTTCATTCCTTCAGGGTAGAAATCCGTTTCCTGTATGATCGATATAACTGCAGGTTGTGTAACTGCATCACTTACTGCTGCCGCTATCCATATCCACGTCTGTCTTAAACAGAATTACGTTAACACTCCTCGGAAAGAGTCCAAGAAGCCTACAGTATTTAAAAGCTGTCAGAGGCCCCAGTCCTATCAATAAAGTTTAGGTTGATGCAATCACAGTGAGCATGCGCAGAGGTTTGTTGTGTTGCGGGGATAGGAAGTTTGTAGGCCGGGTTCATCTATTATGTAAAACCTCAAGAAAAGAAGACGTTGTTACATATCAGCAGAAAAAAACATACTTTACGCTCCATTGGGCTTTAAATGGCTGAATCTCTAGAAGGTATTTCATTTAAACTTTTTATTAGCTACCATGTTACTCTATGCTAGGTTATTTTTTATAATCAAATTTAGTCTTTACTATAGTGGCTTCAGGGCTATCAGTAATGCTTTTGAGGTATTATTGCTACTGCTTATAGTAATAATGTCCGATTTGACATGTAGAACCAAACGGGATGTGTACATGTCGACTTGTTGTCGTGGGACCAAGTCAGCGATGTGACAGATCATGCTGTTGGTCAGCTCACCACATGGTTGCCTGTGTGACCTCGTAAAACACGGTGACAAATCCTTTTTTCCCCCCAGAATAAATTATCTATTAAAATTAATTCAGATTTTTTTGTGTGATTTATTAAACTGCAAGATTCTGAAAAGCCTGCTTCGTTTGTAGATATATTACCTAGTGTCTAAACATTATCATAGCTGGGTCAGAGTCCAGAAACATATTTGGTTCATAGTTACACTGAAAAGTCAAACCTACTAACTTTGTACTGAAGGAAAAAATGACACATTCGTTTTATATAAACGCTGAGAGATGAGGTACCTTATAAATAAACCTTGGAAATCCACGTTTGTGCTCTACACACAATGACGTATATTCCCAATTTTTAAACTAACGTCAGTACTTTTTGCAGACATAACCCTACTGCAGATTATTACAGAAGTACAGAAAATGTTTCTCTCCGTTGTCCCTGTATAAGATTGTGATGTGCTTTTAGAAAAATGCTGATCTGTGCTTAAGTTTCCATTTTTGTTCCCCCAGGGGAACTGGATTTGAATCCAGATGCAGCTGATTTTGTGCCTGAAGAAAGACACAAGCAGAAGTCAAGGAGGGAGAACCCAAAGTCAGAGCACAACAGAAACAGGAGTGGTCACTACGCAGGTCCTCGATCGCAGCATTATAACAGGCCGTATCACAGTAACAGGCCTTGGCATGAACATGACTCCCGGAAGAGCCACAGTCCTTCTCAGGACCATGCGGAGCGGGGAGAAGGCAATAGAGGAGCTAGAAGCCACAGCTTTCAGGCACAGAGATGGCAAAAGCCCGGAAGTGCAAGGAATCTTCCAGCAGATATCCCTGACCCCTCTGGGGGCAACAGGACAGAGTCTTCCACTGAAGTGTCTGGAATTGGTGGGTCAAACTGGAAGACGGAGAACCAGAGGGACAGTTATTTCTACAATGGCCCTCTTTCCCAAGAGGAGATGAGAGATGTAAGGCCCAAAAAGACAAACAAGTTTGCTGCTGCTGAGCCCAGGAGGGGGGCAAGCGAGAGGGGAAGATGGGCTTTTGTCGGGGAGACCCGGACTGCGGAGGACTGGTCCAGCACGGTGTCCACAGATGCTGGTAAAGAAGTTGATGGGAAGGGTCAGAGGACGGGGGAAAGGTATCGGGACCACAGCATGAAGAAGAACTCCCCGAGGCACAGACAAGAGCACGAGGAGGAGACCTTTAGAAGACCAGCCTCCTACAGGAGCCTGGCAGGCAAACCCCACGCGGCTTCCTTCAGCACGTCAGAGGGGTTGAGCGCTTCCCGGTGTCCAGAGGAGCCCAGCTGGAGGAGCGAGAGGGGACACGGCAAGCGTTTTGCACTCCAAGACCGTGGTCCGAAGAAACCTCAAAAGGCGGACAGGAGGCCTGTTTATAAAACGCAGGTGGACATGCCCAAGAGCAAGGAAACGCAGACAGGTGTGCCACTATGGTCATTTGTGTTTATTTCATTTTCCATATCTGATATCTGATAACATGAACTGATAACATGAAAATTAGCCTCTTATCATGAAGTATTTCTCTACATGTGTTTCACTGCCCTGCCAGTGTTTGGTTGGGATGCTCGAAGCTACGTATCCATATTGTCAAATGCAGACAACAGTTCTAAAATGAGAAGAAATGCTTTTTTTTTTATTCCATTAAAATGCTAAGCATCTGTTTGCTTACAAAATCAAAAGAGCGGATGGAATAGAGTCTTCCTGACCACTTTCTCTGTGACCCTTAGCATTTTGGAGAATAAAGCGATGCAAATGAATGTGTTCAAAAGTCAGTTTGGGTGTCAGGCAGGTGATGTCTGGAAAGCTACTGCATATGTATTTGAGAGTGATCCCTTTAATAACCCGTATTCATCAGCTGTGGCATTGTCTGGCCCTGATCAGATGACTTCTCAGCATTAGCTCAAAGGAACCGAGTTTGACAGGTGGCGTTACGCAAGTTTTTAAGATGGTATTTGAGTTCTGTGGATCATTGTGCTTTCCCTCTCCCTCTTGGGGCAGGCTGCTTGATCGAACAGCTCACGGAGGAGAAGTACGAATGCATGGTCTGCTGTGAGGTGATCCGGTTGATGGCTCCAGTGTGGAGCTGCCAGAGTTGCTACCACGTCTTCCATCTCAACTGTATTAAAAAGTGGGCCAGGTCCCCAGCCTCTCAGGCAGAGGGTAAGTTTGGTCCTGGGGCTAGGGGACTAATTTTTTGTATCTTCCTGTGTAAAATTATACCCTGCCTGCTACATTTAAATTACACTGCCTTGGGAAGTGTTGTGCAGATTTCATACAAATATTATTCAGATGGCTTTAAGGAAGGACATCAAATCCCATGACTAAACATTTTAGTAAAACATGATCTCACAATACACCCTCCTGAATGTATTGTATTGATTTCTGTGGAGTCATGTTTATCGAAACATTAAATTAAGATCAAATCAATTTAATTAGACGTTAGAATAGCAGATTTTTAAAAGTGTTCTGTGTTTCAATCATGTAAAAACCAAAAAAGCACAAATGACAGCCTTTGTAAATTGTATTTTTTCCCCATGGACATTTTCCCATTGATTTCTTAACCTGATTTTCACTGTCTGTGGAGGGTTCTAGATTGGCAGTTTTGAGAACAGTGACAGTGGGCGGGGAATGGTTAGCTAGGATTCAGTCATCTGCCGGGGTCCCAGTCTCTCCATCCGAGAGCATGTACAGTATTTAGCAAGGTCATGTAGAAACGGCCCTACCTGTAGTCTTTCTTCTGTGGGCGTCAGTTGATTGAGGTTGACAGATAAAAAGAAGAGAGTATAGCCGTACGATGATCATACTTTATTTCTCACCAGTTTTGGTTCCGTTTACAATAAGTAACATGATTGGACTTCATAACTTCTTTTTAAAAAAATCAAGATGTGCAATTTATCAAGTAGTTGCAACTTTTTTTGTTTTCCTTTTTTAAACCCACACTAATCAGTGTGCATTATGTGCTTGCCTTCACTGTATTGCATGTGCCATATTTTACTAACATAATTCTCAGTGTACTTAATGATGTGATTGAGTAAACCTTGTGTGGCTCTATTTCCAGATGGGAATGAAGGGTGGAGGTGTCCTGCCTGCCAAAATGTAGCATCTCGTGTACCAAACTCTTACGCCTGCTTTTGTGGTAAGTGAAATTTTCTGTTATCTTCTAAAATACCTTGGAGAACTTCATAAATTACCATTCTACATTGTGCATAATTGTGCATGTTTTCTTCAGGATTATTTTTCATGGTAGTGGATGCACAAATTTCTTGTTTTTGTAACTTTTCTTTCCCAAATTGGCCATTGCGTTTTACATGCATTATACTGTTGTTTGATTGTTATTACAGTGGAATTCCACCTTTAAAATAAAAGCTGAAGTGTCAAACGGGGGACAGCGATAGAAGCATTCAGCAACAAGGGTCACTGCCAGAAAGCTGAGGATCACCTGGTGGTCAAAATCTAGACAAATGTCACAAATATTTATTTTTCCATTTTGTTCTGGGGAATTAGGGCCAAAGTCTGAAACTTGCTTTCTGGATTGAACATTAATGAGCCACACCCAGAGAAGGATACACAACTGAAAAAATGTTTTTCTTCTCCTTTTAGCATGGAATAAACCTTTACTTGTTCCTTTGCAGCTTATGCATGCTGACGCAGCTACCTGAACTACTTAAAGAGCTTTAGGTTGTAGAACCACTCCTGCATTTTGGGAGATATTGTATTGTAAAGTCGATCAGGAGATGTGTAGAGGATTGTATTGCTCCTTATAATGATTTGTGTTTCATTAACAAAAAAAATAATTTATATGCTTTCAATTTAATTTTTAAGGCAAGGTTAATAACCCTGAGTGGCACAGAAATGAGATTCCACACAGTTGTGGAGAGCTGTGTGGTAAGAAGCGATCTGCTTTGGACTGCCCCCACCCCTGCAACATGTGAGTAACAAAATATATTGTTTCTATGAATTTACAATTGTTAGTTATTTTTTCTGTATACCCCACCATTTTAGAATTGTGAACTGTGCCTTGATGTCATTTCTCACAGCAGTAATTCCTGCTGTTTAATAATGTTTTCAAATGTTGTTTTTTTTTCTACAGTTTGTGCCACCCAGGACCATGCCCGTTATGTCCTGCTTTTATAACCAAATCTTGTGTCTGTGGAAGAACAAGGTAAAAGGCATTCTTTCATTGACTGTGTATTTCCAGTTAGCAACACGCACAAAGGAATTCTTTGAGTCAGTTTTCAGGCTTCCGTATGAACACGCAAAACTTGTAAGGAAATATTTTGTACTATAATGTTGATTTACTAACACTCTTTTGTAGTTGTAATTCTCACCCAATTAAAAAAATGAGCAAAAGATACATTATCTCACAAACCCTTGGCTACAAGCATTACTTGTATCCAAGAAAACGTTCTGGAATGAGTCTAACCCCTCTTTCTTCCCCAGTCAACCTGTGCGCTGTGGCCAGTCCTCTGCAGTGCTCTGTTCTGAGGTGTGTGAAGAACTACTGAACTGTGGGAAGCACACCTGCACCCAAGTATGCCATGCTGGGAACTGCCCTCCATGCCAGCTTCAGGTCACACAAGGTAAGCGGGCAGTGTTCCTGGGAGCTACTCGTGGTTTTCACAGATCGGGAAGCTAAATGGCAGATCGCAAAAGATTTTAGGTTTGATATGTATTGTCCGTTTTATTTCAGTTCGAATGAACTATATAAATGAGCAGTAAAATGTAAGATATCCTTCAATCTGGTTGTTTGGGATGAATTCGATGCAGCCTCTTATGCAGAAATGGTTATTGCTTTGCGGCTGGCATTCTTATTCAGATGAGCAGTGTTAATGACTTTCTGTTTTTGTTTTTTCAGTCTGCTATTGTGGAGCTGTTTCTCGGGAAGTGCTGTGTGGAACAGATAAGGATAACTTTGATGGATCTGGACACTTTTCTTGTCAGAAATTATGTGGAAAGTAAGCATCGTGCATATATGCTTCCTTATTGTGTGCATCAAACAGTTCAACACTGGGGAATAGCCTTACTCATATAGTGTATCTGCTTCTAAAATGCTCAAATGGCAATGAAGCGGTAGCCATCCATCCATTTTCTAACTGTTTTATCCAGTTCAAGGTTGACAACAGGCGCAAGGTAGGATACATCCTGAATGAGATGCCGGTTCATCACAGGGTACACACAAACACAGACACACTCTCACCAGAGTCAATTTTCCCAGAAGCCTGTTAACCTACCAGTATGTTGTTGGAGTGTGTGAACACGAGGAGAACATACAAACTCCACACAGATAGCACCTCAGGTCCAGAACTGAACCCAGGGCCCCAGCACTGTGAGGCAGCAAAGCTTTACACTCCACCACTGTGTCGCGTACTGAAGAAATATCATACAGATAAACACAACATCTAAATGAGCAGAAGAAAGAAAGCAGGAATTGCACAATCAGATGGAAAGTTTTATTCAAAAGGCACTAAATGTTAAATAAACACTTTTATGTCTCTGGCCCGTTTGTATGTGACCTTTCAATGGAATTAGATGTTAATCAAAAAAAGGTGCTGGAAGAGAACGGATGTTTGGTTTTCGTTTTCTTTTCTGTAAGCGTACTGCTGGATTTGCTAGCTGGAGTTGCGCTTTGCACATCTGTGCCTCTGTGGACTATTGCTAACCCCCTCCCCCTTTAAAAACAAGAACAAAAATTCTACCTTAAGGGAGTCTATAAGAAAATAAAAACAACCGTCTACTGTATAACAATACAGTTTCCTTGTATATTGACTATTTCACTGAGCCATTGGTATTTTTCCCTTTATTGTATTTAAAGCATTTATATGCTATATTATAACAGCAGATCTTTTTTTTTCTCCTAGAAAGCTGGACTGTGAGATCCACTGGTGCAGCCAGCTCTGCCACCCGCAGCCCTGCGAGTCCTGCCCCCGTCTCCCCCAGGCTGTGCGGACCTGTCCTTGCGGGCAGACTCCGCTGCTTAAGTTGATGGAGCTGGGCTACTCCGAGCGCAGGAGCTGCACAGACGCAATCCCTTCTTGCGGGAAGACCTGTGGCAGGCCACTGCCCTGCGGCTCTGCAGGTGAGCGCTCTCGCGGCTCGTCCGGATCAGCTCTCTCCCCGCCGGTCCAGTCTTGATATCGGGTTAGTCTTCCCGATTTGCTCTCGTGTGGTGGAAGAGAACTGAATGGGTCTTGAAGCTGAGCAAAAAGAAACCGAAAGCCTTGATTGCCTTTAGTTTGACTTTGAAGAAACAGTTTAAATAATTTAAGTTTTCACTTCCTGATGCTGTGCTATTCAAACTGAAGTTTTGTCTCGGATGCATAAATTGGTAGTTCGTGCAATAAAATATTTGGAATACAGTATTTCTCTTGATAAGAAAATATATGATCATTTTTTATGTGGAGACTGCAGTCCACCTATTTTCTTTACATTTTATCTGAGTATGCAGGTAATGGCCTATTTAATACTTAATCCTTGCTTCAGCTTTAAACCACAATCCTTTTCTCTTCATCTGGATTGTAGATTCCATTCATTTCTGTGAAAAACTTTGCCATGAAGATAGCTGTGGTCCTTGTTCTTTGACTTCCATCATCAAATGCAGATGTGGCTTTAAAACCAAAGTAAGTGAACACATCCAAGTATAAACTACAAGGCTCTCCCCGAAAATAATGCCCCATATTGTTTTGGGGAAAACAATATTTCTTACAGATAAATGAGGAAACTTCCTTTTCTTTTTGCAAAATGTAATAATATTCCCATCAACAATTGTAGAATAATAACACTAAAATGTTATGAAACTTAAGATTTGTTTCTATCTTCTTTATCTGAAACAGTTTCCTCAAGTTAGTTTCTGTTAGCTTCAGGGCTAAAGATAGTAAGTTTAGCATTTTTTTGTGCACTGAACATCAGAAGAAACCTATTACTCCGTTTATGCTTGAATACATTTAGAAGAATAATGTATTTGTATTCTACATATTGATTTCATTTTGTGTGTCATGATTAATTGTACATTCATGACTAACCTTCATACTTGAGTGACTTTGACTGTTATATAAGCACTCATTTGCATCTTCAATGAGAGTTGATTGGTCAACGGTGACAGTTATTGGACTTTTTGAATGTCAAATCTGATGAAAGAAAAACAAAACAAAGAAAAGCAATGTGTGCCTTGTTTGTCAAGAGAACAGCACCTTTATACCATTGATATACTGGAGCAACATCTCACGTGTGCTTACAAGCAGTGTAACCAAGTCCTCTTCAGCATTATATTAAGTTTTTGTGTAGACCGCGCTCATGCACGTCAGCAGAACAACACATAAATGGCTGTCTACAACAGACCAATTGATGGGCAGGTCAAAGTGTGGTGGTCTGGACAGGACTGTCGAATATCTACAGAACACTACTTAATTATTGATGGCAACCTCACTTCACAGGGCTCCTGTACATTGATATAGTCCTGTGCCCTGGCTTGTTTCACTTCCAGAGTCTTCCCAACATGACAGCGTCCTCATCCTGTTTGTATAAGTCAAATGGTCGTTTAGGGGTTCCAAACGCAATGGGACAGAATCCCACAAGACAGCATCTGCACCTCAGTGCTTGTGTTACTTCTTAAGGTGCCCACATGTACTATTAACTTTTGTAGATCAGTAGAGCCTCTGTTAATGAACACTGTTGATGACAAAAGTTAAAGGCATTATGTTGATGTTATCTCTGTCTAGTAAACTGTTAGTGCATTGGCTATAAAATATTATTTTTATTATATGTTATTGTTACAAATGGGGGGGGGTTACTAAAATGGTGAAAAGAGATTGTCTGAGCGGTTTAGTCAATAAGTGAAAAAATTCTTCATAAACCCCAACTTGTAAGTGATTTCACCAGAATATACCCGGGCGGTTGGTATAGTAGGAGGCACGTAAATTATTTCTCTGCCAGAGCTTTGTTGAGAAGAGTAATAATCCAGGTACACTTAGTTAAACAAATATTTATTACATTGAGGAGACAAACTACACTACACACACCAAAACATACAACACACTATGTCGTCTACTATTTATTACACTATTTATTTTTATTTATTTTGTTGTATTTTGTTTTATAACTATTCTGATGTCTGTTTTGCTTGTCTTGGGCTGGACTGCTGTAACATATCAATTTCTCTACGGGATTAATAAAGTATCTATCTAGTCTATGTACAATATTTACAAACAAGGCATTTCAGAGGCCTAACATTCTGGTCATCCAGGAAACCCCAGACTGCTACTAGTACTAAGCATGAAACTCTTAATGCCTACCCATGAAATAATAAGAAATAATCTGCCTTCTGACTAAACACAAAGCAACCTGCAGTTAAATGTCTCTTTCTCCACCCCGGATTGCCACAAAATAAATGGGAGCCTATATCCCTATCCATAAAAATGCACCCTACGCAGCAAAGATATTTCTAACTCTGGTACCTTTTACCCAGGAAACCCAGGTTCTCTAAAAACACAGAATAGCAAGCTTTCTCTAACAAGGTTCAAATATTTACTGTAGCTCTAGTCAGGTTTTGTTTGGATGATCATGAGTGGGGGCTCTTGCCTGGGGCAAGCTTCAAGTTCCAACTCCTCTGGACTCTCGTCTCTCCTCTACTTCTTCCCTGCTTTCTGTCCTTCTCTCCTCTTCTTGTTCCTTAATATGATCTTATATTTTATGTTTCTGTACTCCCCATTAACAGTCATTACACCACAACTTACTTAGGTATACTAAGGTACAGTTTACAATTGTTTCTGCTCAAGGGACCCCCTAGACCTCAGCAAACATCCTTTCTGCTTTGAAGTGAGAAGTGTTGAAAAACTTTATCTTTAAGAGTCACAAACTTTATCTGAAATCTGAGAGACACTTTTCAGTCAACTAAACCTGTAACATTGCTGTATTTTTGCTGATAATAACAAAATGACCCCATTGCAGTTATATGTGGCAAGTTTCTTTTAATATATTTTGGAAGCTCCAAAAAGTAAAAATAGTCTTTATGTTTTATTATGTGGGATTAAATGGCTGAAGAATGTTACTAGGATGTATGTCCACGAAGAACTCTGAGCTTGCTTCACCAACTGTAAAGCACAGCTATTCAGTAACACGGTTTCCTTTAATCTCCAGGAAGTTCCGTGCTCCACCATCCAAAGTGAAGGTAAGCTTTTGTCCAGTGGATAAAGAAATAATAGGCGTTTTGATTTACAAGTCTTTATGATGTATATGATGTTGCATTGATTTTGTTACTTTATATATCTAATTTATTTTGGAGCTTAAAATAAGCAGATATTCATCCATTAAAATTACCCAATATTGCTCATCACCCTCAAAACAAACAGCATCAGTATAAGATGTATTTAAATATAATAACACTATAAGAAATTTAAGAAATGATGAAGAATTGAAGAAAACTAATCACCTAATATATTATCTGTTTTAACTTTATAAATCCTTACTAGTCACTGATACCTTTGAGTCATTCTTAAATGAACATCACTTATCATCGACTGGCCTGTGCAGTCACAGTATTACCTGCATCTCTCTCTAAGTCGTGTTTCTTAGCTCTCTGTCTTCTGCAACTATCATAGAGTAGACTTAATCATCCATTTGATTTTTTTGTCAAAATTCTTATCCGTTTCTCATACGAGCAGGATAAGAACTTTGGTTATAATGAAATCAAACACAAAAAAAAGTGCTTTATCTCTTCACTCTGTGGAGCCTTTAACATGTTTAACTTTTAAATGCTGTAATAAAGATATCATGTTTTCTAAGTGACACAGTGGTGTGTTTTTATCTCCGCTGCTTCTCAGTTCTTGGTTACTGGATTTGATTCTAGTCTGGGTCTCTGTGTGTGGAGCCTGGACGTCTCCATGTGTTTGTATAAGTCCTCACTTGCTTTTTCAGTTTCCCACCTTCCAAAGGCATAGGCTAGATTAAAGGGGGACTGCAATGCTATTTTTTTATATTTTGGGTTTATAAAGAGCATTGATGAGTGCATTTCAAACCACATTAAAAGTAAGATGTACACAGTAACTTATAAAACCTACAAATTACATCACAAAAGAGACGAAATTTCCAAGTATTTACAGCACCATGTTCTGTGATTCTGAACAAGGCAACTAAAGTCCGGTGACATGATGTGGCCTTATTACATTGTAAAGAAGCACTTACTCTTGTGAGTAAATCTCTTTTAATCCAATAGAAATATTGATCTCAGCTTTGTGATGATTTTGTGAACAAATACTACTTTCTTGTTAACTCTGCATGCGGATCACGAAGTGTGCCTTGTGCTTATAAGAGAGCATTTGTATTGCTGCAACCCTTAGAAATAAGCAGCTTTATTAGAATGGGGGGATGGATGAATCATTTTTGTGTATTTTGATGGTCTTCGGATTGCTTTCCATTACTGTAAGTGATTACCCAGACATCCCTTATCTCTCATTGCAGGTGAGCTTGTGTTTACTTGTGAGAAGCGGTGCAACAAAAAGCGTTCTTGTGGCCGACACAAGTGTAATGAACTTTGCTGTGTGGTGAGTGTGAAACCATGATTGTGTCATTACGAAATGTTTTTAATCCCAGATCTTGAACTGAAATTAACATAAAACACAGAGATAATCTCCTCAACCGTACTCGCTGTCCTCTGATAGGAATGGTTTCAGTTAACTGCCCTGCAGATTTACTGATTACATTGTGTGCCAAGGTACAATGTGTAACCTCTTCTGTTTTTAGCTCAGATAGAGATCTGAGAGTTTGAGATAAACGAGAAACCTGTGTTATTGCCAGTGTTTGATTAAAATGGTTGTGTCGTAGAAACTTGGAAGCACTGGGAAAAGGGAGTGCTAAAATACGCAGGCTTCCCCTCTTCTTTTCAAAGATGCTTAATCATCACCATTTGAGACACCATCATCACATCTGCCTTTCACAGAAAATCTTGTATAGCCAAACTCCGAACAATGCAGCCAACTATCATTGCTCATTGTCCATCTGTACAGTTTTCTAGACGGTAATAGTTCCTTTTTAGTCATAAACATAAAGTCCTAGTGGTAATAAGCTTTTTGGTTTTGTTGAGACAGCTCTCCTCTACTTCTTACCCTATGAAGCTTGTGAATCGGTGACGACATAAAATACATTGTGTTTTGACTGTAGATTCATTATTTGATATTAGCACTTGAAAATACCATTGGAATAATTAAGCGACTGTTTTTTCTGTGACATCTTTATGGGAATGGAATTAAAGTTGATTTTTTTTTTCCTGACACTGACAAGATTGGGGGATCGGTGGTATAGGTTTTGCTAAACACCTCTGACACCATTGTTTTCCCCTGACAGGACAGGGAGCACAAGTGCTCTCTTATCTGTGGGTATAAACTGAACTGCGGTCTGCACCGGTGCCAGGAGCCTTGCCACCGGGGAAACTGCCAGCCCTGCTGGCAAACCAGTAAGTACTCGGCCCTCTTCTCTGCTGTCCAGTTGCCAAGCTTAAACAGTGGCAGAGTGCAAAACCAGGACCGCAAAGACACGTATTTCCCGATACAGGTATCAGCATTTCTCTACTGCTGTGCCCCGAGATGAATCATCACCCTCAAAACGTGTAGTGATATGATTGGTGGAGGAAGCTTACTGTATTTTCACAATTCGAAATTGTAATGGTAAATAGTGAGAATACAGTAAGCTTCCTCCACCAATGCAGTTCCCCCCCCCAGCGAAGTTTTGATTAAAACATAAAACCAATATGCCGAAAAATTCCTGAAGCACTGACATTTCACTACAACATGGACGATCCCTGAAATATCTTCACAAAATCTAGTAGCATTTCTGATATCTATTTTCCCTTAACACTGATCCTGGGGGCATTTTGATGCTACAGTAAGTGCATCCCAGTCTATACAGTACATACACTACACTACTGTGTTGTGCTCATAAGTTGTTGTTTTTTTGTGATTTGTTGTGTGTTTTCTCTGCATTATGTTTAACCATAATGACAGGTTACCACTTTTTGTTCAGCAAAGTAACATTTCAGGAAAGTGATGACTTCAATGAAGAAAATTATAGTTTTAGGTTGCATTGAAATATGGCAACTGTTTCCCAAAGATACCTTGAATGCACACCATATTGAGGTTAGCCAAAAACGACCATTAAACAACTCTTATTAGCTTAAATAATGCATTGAAATTAAGTGACTTGTGACGGATGCAATCCAAGGAATTTGATTTTGCTAAAACTTCTTGTTTTTATGTGCAGAATATAAATTAAGCCATCAGATCTGGCAAGTCCTTGAGCTTCTTGAATGACATGCTGTCCTACTCATTCAGTTCAGTGCCTCTCTAATGGGTTGGGGGTCTGTGGTGTGCTCAAAATCAACCCCTGCTTCTGTTGCAACAAATGCCATCTCTAAGAAAAATGTAATTTTACTCTCAGGCTTTGATGAACTGACATGCTATTGTGGAGAAACGGTAATCTACCCACCAATCTCCTGTGGTACAAAACCACCTGAATGCAAAAACCTTTGCACCAGAAAGCATGAATGTGATCATCCAGGTAAGACCAATCAATCTTATTCATTATTTCTATATTATAGTGTTACTATGTAGGAATGGGAAATAAAGCTGAGGGGTAAGAAAACAATTCGGGCCTGTGAGGTTTTTATACTCTCTACTATAGCTCTGCTGGAAGAGTAATAAATCAAGTCAAAACTGAGGCCAAACAAATATGTATAGTAACAATAGGATAACACAACCAGACAACAGAAAACATTATACAACATGCAAAACTATGTGCTTCAGAGGCCTATTCTCCTGGAATCCTCCCCCTGTTACCTGAAACACTGCAACAGGCACCTTAACAGGCCAACAAGAGAAGAACCCTGTGCCCTAAATGAAAAATATAACCCTAAAGCACCCTTTCTACAACATACAGTAGATGCCTTAAAGTAAATGGGAATCTGTCTGAGGATCCTATAATATGGCAGATTCAATAAAAAAAGGGGCAGTAAGGTCTGAATAATAAGGCTGAGATTACCTAGAAAGAAAGAATGCATGCCACAAGCTCAGAGAAATAGGAGAGGGATAGTGTTCCTCTTTCTCCCTGTGCCCTCAGTTTCCCTGTCTTCTTTCTGTTTCTGCCTTGCTGTCTCTTCCCTGTCTTTTATGCTACATTCTATAGCTGTTGAAGGCTCAGGTGGTTTGCCAAGAAGTTAATTAGCCAGAGTATATTACTAGAAAATCCTCTTTGATTATAGTTTTTACTTGGGTGTATGCTTATCCACAGCTACTGTAGGTAAATACCTCAAACAAACTTTATCATGCCAAGACTCAAATTCAGAAAGATTTATTGGCATGACCAGTGAATTACAGTGTTTCCGAAGCAGATACAATTAAGAAAACATTTACAAATGTTTATAGTACAAGCATATTATCGGAACTTTACTTAGAACACATCCCTCTCCGTTTAGCCTTTTGAGTAGCGCAATACCGTCTGAACCAATCTTATAGCTTCCCTAATAGTTATAATTGTTGTAATTATTTTAAAATTGATTTAAACGTATCTTTTTTTTCCCGACCTTAGGTAGAGTTGAGTGTATTGAATGTTTGCAAAACAATAATATTAAGATTGCTGAGGTATTTTAATGATCTAGCAAATTCAAAGATATACTGATGCTTTTGCATTGTTTTATACTTAACTAAAACATCCTTTATGCTTTGTACTATTGAGATTGTATTAGGGTGGTATCATGGCACTATATTAGAAGTTATTAGTAGTTAAGCTAATGACTTGTTGCAACCCAGAGGAAGTTACGTGATTATGCGAACAGTGAATAAGTCCTTGTGCCGTCTTCTCCGGTTTATGTTAAAATAGGGTAACCATACAGTTCCATGTTCCCTAGAACACGTAACATAATAACATCACTTTATTAACCCAATACAATTTCTCGCATTAGGAATTTGACTTTTCACATACCCCAGCTTGCTCTCCATGAGACACACAGGCACACAGATAGGGAGAGAGCCTGGGGTCATAGCGATAGTCCATGTTCAGAAGAGTGACTTCAGGCCAACAGGGCCCTATCAGATCGCCAGATGAGTTTTCTATGTGATAATTTTCTTATGTGAAGACTTGCAGTATCCAGCACCTCTTACTTTGTATAAGAGCCCGTGGGTATTTTAAATGTAAACTGTATTGTGCTGTTACATAATAGGACCTTAACTGTGTCCATGTACAGTACTGTAACTGTCCTTCATCAACTGGGTCTAAGGTTGTTTCAGATGTACTTTAAAAAGATATGACTGTCCTTTTTTGTTCTTCCATTAGTGTTTCATAACTGTCACAGCGAGGAGACATGCCCTCCTTGTACCTACCTCACCCAGAAATGGTGTATGGGAAACCATGAAGTGAGTAGATGAATGCAGTTTACAGTAGTTCTTTGTTTTTTAGAAACCTGTTTTATCTCAACACATCTTGGGTAATACAACACAAACTGTAATGACACAAAGCTGACTTCCTTTTAATTGTGCATATATTTATAGCCAGTGATCCTTATAAAATAGACTTTATCCTTAAAAATAGGCTTTGTTAATTGAATAATATGCAATAAATTAAAACATACCAAAAATGAAACATTATCCCTTGAATAGTGCTGTGATGCAGTAGTACCATCAAAGATGATTGATGCAGCAATATCAGTGCTGTGTCCTGAGAGAGCTAGCACTGTTAAGATAAGATAGGATCACTTTATTGGCCATATACAATTTCTTGTGTTAGGACTTTGTCTTTTTGCATGCCCCAACTTGCTCTCCATGAGACACACAGACGGGGAGAGAAGCTTGGGGTCAGAGCGCAGGGTCAGCAATTTATACTGCCCTTGGAGCAGTTGGGGTTAAGGGCCTTTGCTCAGGAGCCCAACGGAATAGGATTCCTCTGCCACCCACAGGATTTGAACCAGCAACCTTCCAGCCACAGGCGCAGATCCTTAGCCACAGAGCCACTGCACTGCTGTTATTGCTACTGTTCCTTTTAAGATGCATGTGGTGGTGCTATAACACTACAAAATATTGCTTTGCTTGTCTGGCAAGTTCCTAGTTGTGCACTTGCAGTTAGCTTACTTGTGCAAATCATTGACTGGAACTTCATCTGCATTTTTACAGCAAAGGAGCAATATTCCCTGTCACCTAACCGACATTTCCTGCGGCCTGACCTGTAACAAAGCTTTGCCATGTGGGATGCACAAGTGTCGAAGGATCTGCCACAGAGGGGAGTGCGTGACGGAGGAGCTCTGTAAACAGCCCTGTTCTACCGCGAGGCAGGAGTGTGGTCACCCATGTGCTGCACCGTGCCACCCAGACTCTCCCTGTCCACGGACACCCTGCCCTGCCAAGGTATTTCTGCAGTGGAGCCTGGAAAGGGGTGTAAACCTTGGGAAAAATATTTTCAGACTGGTCTAGTGAGCAGAGATTAAATACATTGCTTATTGCTGGGTTAGGGAGTATCTTTGTTTAACATCCTTTTAATTAGTGGGTAGTACATTTTTGGAGTGTGCTGTTTTATGGAATGGTTTTTTGCTCACATTTGTGAGTTTTAGTTTCCTATTTTCCTTGCGTTCCTTCTGCTGAATTTCTCTTCTCTCCTTAGGAGCTGTTATAAAACTTTTTAACAATTTAGACTAAGTCCTTTAGGCTATTTAGACAAATTCCTGTACTGTATTGCTTTGCTTGATTTTCTTCAATTTTTTAGAAAGCATTTGGACAGAGGGTGTCAGGTAACCTAACCCACTATATTAATGTACTGGGAAAAACTGGAAGCTCGTGAAATCAGATGACAGAACTATCCTTTAGTAGAGTTAAAGAAGTCTTACTGTTTTCTTACTGTAAAGCCATAAATACTGTATATGTCTTTTTTGTGTAAGTTCCTGACTACAAACCTTTGCCCTTAATCCTTCTTTGGCATCATCCTCAGGTGGCGCTTCAGTGCGATTGTGGGCGCAGAAAGGAGACCATGATTTGCTCTGAGGCCTCAAGCTCATACCAGAGGTGAGGATTAAAAATGACTTCCTCACTGATTGTCATCTTTTCTGAGCATTTTATTAACCTCCTCTATAATTAGGAGACATATTTAATGTGGCTGGAGAGAGTCACTGGAGAAACTTTCTTTATTCCCTGGAGCCCTCTGGCACAGTATGGTGTGTTTAAGGTAATATGACAGAGTGCACTGACAGTCTGCTGCTCTTATGTGGTGAATCATTACAATTGTCACAATCATGCTCTTTAACCCATCTCCAAATACAATAAGGTGATGTTGCAGAAAGCATTGGAAAGCTTAAATCACCCCATGCAAACTACATTTAAGTTAAAAGTTGTTTGTGTTAGCTGTTGCTGTGCTTTGTCCTTTAACCAGCAAATATCATATGGTCTGTAAACCCTGTGTCCATCACATGAACACCAGAAAAATCCTGGAAGGAATTAATTACATGTTGATGTCTTAATGTAGATTATGGTAATGCTTGGTATTACACATGTTTCCGCAACAGAAAAACTGTGAATATTATCAATGTGTTTTCAGATTACCCTTTCCAAACCTTCTCTAAATGTAGATTATGCTAACCGTTCAATTGAAATCTGTACTTTTCCATGCATGCAGGCTTGTTGTAGATGGGAACTGCACAGAAACTGTAGGACAATTTATTACTTTGAACTGCTGACTTTTTTTCTTTTTTCTTTTTGTAGAATAACTGCTATAGCCATGGCCAGCCGCCTTTCTGATCTGCAGCCTGGAGACTCTGTAGAAATTGGACAGCTGGTTACAAAGAAGGAAATGAAAAAAGCCAGGTATTGCATTATATTTCTGCTAGTGAATGTTTCTTGGGAGATTTGTAATCTGAAATAATTGAATTGCCAACACAAAATAAAAATGATGCTGATCCTTATGGTCCTTTAAGTTAGTAGCCAGTTGCTGGCCCTGAGATTTAGGATTGTCCATCCTAAGCAGGGCCTCTGTGCTTTTTAGGTTCAGATTTCCATCCAAGCCCATTAAATGTATTTTGATGTGGGGCTGAAGTTCAACCAATTTACTGAGAGGCGTTTAGGGCATAAGAAATAGAAAAATGCATCAAATGAATACTGGGCATTCGTCATGAATAGCGTGATCCAGTGTTGTTTTATTAATGCCTCTTGGTATATGTTATATGTATCGTATCATGCAAAATCTATTATAATTTAAATATTGCAGCATCTTCCTAATTTTGCATGTAATTCATCTTTCATTTGTTTTGTTATTGACCTTTTTTAAAGGTCACATAAAAGCACATGCATCTGAAACCTGTAAATGTGTCTCCTGTTCTATGTTGTAGGTTGGAATGTGATGAGGAGTGTGCATCTCTCGAAAGAGTCAGGTAGGTCATGCAGTCAAAAGCCACCACATGTTGTTTTGGCTGAGGCCTAAAAGATTGATGTCCCCCTTTCAGATCCAGATAGTGTTACTCATCAGCTATACTGGAAGAAGGGAAATACCACTGTCCAAGGCAAATTATCCAAGATTTGGATGTTGTTAAATACCTGACCACTTATTGGTGTTGTTGAGGATCTTTGTGTTTGTGTGTCATCCATCTCAGTGGCTATGTCTGTCATTTTTGAGACATCAAAACCACAAATGCTTGCATTTAGGGTTTGCAATACAAAAAGAAGCAAAAGGTTTGAAGTATGTTTGCCTTTCATTTCCCCCGCATTGGTTAAAGTTAAATGATGTAGTGTTTTGTGCAAGTGACAAGCTACAGTACATTGATATACTGTACTACACAGCTTTAAAGATTAAACAAATGAGTATTGGAACCAGTATCATTTTTTTACATTTTAATGTCTCTGAATACAATTTCAGTAATCAAGGACATTTACAACATGGTTGGGACCACTTTCTTGGCATTTTCCATTAAATGTGGAAGAAAGACATACAGGAATTCTAAAATGCTGCACTTTGGCGATCAGCACATGAAATGGCTACATTTTGCATAGATCGTAAATGCGTGGCACAAATATGAAGTGAAAGACAATAAATCCCCCTCAATTCCAGTCAGATGCAAAGACGTGTTGTTGCTGCAGCAAGCTACACTGGTCTGTTTTTTGATTTGTTGTTTTGCTCAGTGACCGTGCTGTCTTATATACGTATTTCTATTGTGTTCCTACTGACTACCAACCTCTGACTGCCTCTTTGACCAACAGGATCTTCACACTTTCTAGCTGGTTGAATAGGTTGTTAATGCTGATACCTGGCTGTGCAGTTCTGTCATGGTCACATGTCTGGGCTAGATTTCTAGATTTTAAGTCTTCCTAGTACGGAAACAGAGTAAACATGCTCTCACCATGGGTCAGAGCTAGAAATGATCCTATCCTTGCACATGGCAAGCTGTGCTTTAAATGTGACGTTTTATGTTCAACTGTGGTGTGACTTCCTGACTTTCTCCTTCTTCCTGCAAGGCGCTTTGCTGAGGCTCTGCAGATAGACCAGAGTGCAGATCCTTTCAACATCCGCAACTCTTCCACCAAGTATAGTGACAGCCTGAAGGATGATGCAAGGTGAGAAGTGACTGTAAATACTGTACCATTTTTGTAAAAAATAAACTCCATATTTTTTAACATACCAATGCTAATGGAAATATAATCCACACTTCATGCCAGTTAACAAATTGTAATTTTGTTTAGGAACATTTTCTTCTACCTCATGTTTATGAGCTGTCGTACTTTTCCTTGAAGCCAATGCGAAAAGACTCTAAAAAGTGCAGAAAAGCCAGAACGTTAGACAGCAGATTAAATTAAAATGCATTGTTCGCCAGTGAAATGTATAACGGTTCTGGTGAAGAGCTGCTTTGAATTGTGATCCTGGTGTTGTGACTACCTGGCATTTCTTTATCTCTCTCCCCATGCTAATACAGATATTGATATTATTCTGTCTTGTCTGCGCACAGAACCTTAACCCTTAACCTGTTCTTTAACACACAAGGCTTTGCTGTAAAATGAGTTCAACCCTGATGTTGAGTTTCTTATGTGGGCTAGTGCCAATTTACCCCGATATTTGCTTTGTAGGAAAGTCCTGCTCTTCAGATGGTAGAGACAGGTTAGCAGTTTTTCACAAATCCTGTTTTCATCTGTGACTTCTGCCTACACCGTACTTTGAGAATTGGAATCCCTGGCTGGTCTGCTTTTTGCTTTGATCAGTACGCAGTATACCAAACCACTGTTTTTTAATATAATCTTTAGACTTGCAAAAGAGTTCAAAATAGTTGTTGTCTAGTCTTTAGCTTTTAAGGAATTTCAACGTTTCCGCACTCCAATTTTGCAGCAGTTTTTCTCGTTCTGCTGGATTGTTCTGGTCTCACAGAGCATGTCATCTAATGTATGCTGGGTCTATATATTATTGCATCAATGGTGGCCTGCAGATTTCTAGTATTGTGCATGATCTAACCATCTCAGATTTCCAGACCGTTCAATCCAAACGTAATTGCCCTTCTCCTCCTTCCAGTATTTCCTAATTTCAAATCCCAGACTCCTGGCAGTTTACAGATACAGAATGTGACTCGCTTGCTTGATGCCCATTTCAAAACCGTAGATTCTGGTTGAACAATACAGTAATACCCTGATATTCTTACTTCTGTTCTTCAGTTCATTGCTCTCCTTGTTATACCAGCAGCTATGATAAAGCAGTTTTTAATATCATGCATTGAGAGGCCTGGAAGCAGCATCAAAATTTAAGTAAGATGGTTCTAACATCAGCAAGTTTAGTTTTCTTTAACATCATAGAGAATGGTCAAGGTAATACTTGAGACCTTTTCTCAACCATCTACAGCATGTGATAAATCTACAAACAAATCTATTCATTTTGATAACTTTGTGCTGAACAAATTAATATATGAAAGAATATATTAGTTATAATTAATGATATTATTGTGGACTGCTGACCTTTATATATTATGTATAACTGTTAATCACGGTCAATCTTGGCAGATGCATACGTAAGACTAATATAAATTATTTTTTTAGGATTTCCACAGTTTATTCACTGAGCTCTCCTCCCTATTTTTTTGCTTTGTCAATACAGGAAGGACTTAAAGTTTGTAAGTGAAGTGGAGGAGGAAATGAAAAACTTAGTAGAACTGGCAAGTAAAGTAAGTAACAAAAAAACTTTTGATACCTTTGCCTAAGTGGTCTAATATATTTATTATGCTTTCGTTTCTACAGTAAGATTTTTATTGTTCCCATCCATAACTTAAATGTGTTGTCAGTAAAAAATTCAAGAATTTATTGAATCTGGGTAAATGTTTAAGAGGTAACATACACTTGTGTGGGAATCATAGTTTTCTATTCGCTTTTCTCAGTAAAAAGAAAACTTACTTTTTCATGTGACTCCCACTTTGCAGTAGAAATATAAAATATGCAAGTGTTGGAATTCCTCATTACAAAGGATAATTGTAGTTCCTTAACCAGAAATGTTAAATTGTGGCCTTAAATCTTCAGGTGACAGATAAAATGTCAGAAAGCATCTTCATTTTTTAGATATTTAAATTAGAAAAATGCTTCTGATCAAGTAATAATCATTTTAACACTTCTTACAGGTCATCCTGATTGTTTTGTAATACCCTTTTCAAATTAATTTTTCTGTCTGCTCATAAGATTTAATCTCTCAGATTTTAATAACTCCTTTTTGTACTTGAGATCTCTAAGACGTTTGCACATTGCTTGACCATTCAGCAATCTTAACTTGACTTCAGAGGCTATAATTAAATTAACGTTGTTAGGTTTTAATATTAAAGTTATATGTTTAATATGAATTTAATTAATATGTTTTAGGGAAAGCAAACAAAAAGGAGCCATTGCTTCCCTCCAATGAACAGAGAGCATCGCAAGATCATCCATGAATTGGCGGAAGTCTATGGGATTGAGAGTGTGAGCTATGACAGTGAACCAAAGCGCAATGTAGTTATTACAGCAGTGAGGTGAGACTTCAGTGCATCCGTCCGTTTCACACTTTCAAGAAAATAGTGATCTCTCCCTGCTCTAGGGAGTCCAATATTCCTTCGCCATTCTCGTTCTCTGAGTGGAGAGGTGGCTCTGTGATTAAGGCTCTGCGCCTGTGGCAGGAAGGTAGCCGGTACAAATCCCGTGGCCGGCAGAGGAATCCTACTCCGTTGGGCCAGAGCAAGGCCCTTAACCCCAACTGCTCCAGGGGCGCTGTACAATGGCTGACCCTGCGCTCTGACCCTCTGTCTGTGTGTCTCATGGAGAGCAAGTTGGGGTATGCGAAAAAGACAAATTTCTAATGTAAGAAATTGTATATCGCCAATAAAATGATCTTATCTGTAGCGTATGCCTACTGTATCTTCAAAAGAAACCCAAATTTATAGTAGCAGAGCAGTGTTTTTCATAACATCTGTGTTTCATCCTTTATCTGAACTACAATATAGTATGTAGGAATGAAATGGTTAAGCACAGTTTGTCCCAAACAATGCCTTGATGTAATCTTTTGTCCAGCGCTCTGTCAGGATGAGACTGAGTAAGTGGGTTGCCCCCAAATTTACGTTGTGCTTTAAAATGCCATCATTTTTGGCATCCTCCAGTAACTCTGTAAACTGTAATACCTTAACTAGTTTGAAAGAAAATTGTTTTTTTTATTCAGTTAGCCTCATATTTTTTCAATTTTTTTTTTGCACAAAAAACTGGGGGAAAAGATTGCAACTGTTTTCTTCTCAGTCAACATCAAGAGTCATTGGACCATCAAGCTATTGCAGGAGAGAAATTGTTAATTGTTGTATACTGGCCCTACTAGAAGACACAGGTGCTAGTTAATATAGAAGTGTGCAGTGATTCATGATTGAAGTCTTTGGCTGCCTTCCCATGGGCTTACCTGAAATGACAGCCTTCAAGCACAATAATACTCATGTTGAGTCTTCATACTGCTTGCTTAACAGTTGATTAATTGCATAATGGGAAGAGAGAGTTATGCCATGGATGCCCTTATCACCAGATAAGGAGTCCCGCTGAATGTCAATGGGAATTGTTGTGACCATATACATCCTCTAGGGCTCAGAGACCAGTGAAAAAGCATATATTTGTCCAGTCTTATGAGCAATAGGGCAGAATCCCAGAAGATAAGCATCAGCAATCTGTTGCAAACGTGTCGCAGATGTACAGCTTGTATGGCTTCCAGCAGTGGCCACATTTACTGCTAGCCTGTGACTTTCAGAGGAGACGCTTTTGAGGACAAATGTTAATTGGCATAATCGAATCTATTCAATTGTAGTGTACCTGCTAGAAAATAGATTGTCATTTTTGTGACATGAATTTGTTGCAATAATAAGTCAGACTGCCAGCAGTCATGTCACCCTGGAGCTCTCAACTGGCTACCCACTGAAGCTAAGCAGGGTTGAGCCTGCTCCGTACCAGTACCTGCTGGGAAGCTATGGTTGCTGCTGGAAGTGGTGTTAGTGGACCAGCGGGGGGCACCCACCCTGCAGTCTGTGTGGGTCCTAATGCCCCGGTATAGTAGCGGGGACACTATACTATAGTGGGCGCCGTCTTTTGGATGAGACATTAAACCGAGGTCCTGACTCTCAGGGGTCATTAAAGATCCCCGGGCATTTCCCAATAAGAGTAGGGATCTATCCCAGTGTCAGTGCCAAATTTCCCCCCTTGGCCTTTACCATGGCCTCCAAATTGTCCCCATGTATGATTGGCTTGCACTTGCCCTGCGATGGACTGGCACCCTGTCCAGGGTGTACCCTGCCTTACGCTCGTTGCTTGCCAGGTAGGCTCCGGCTTCCCTCAACACCATATGGTAAAGCGGTTTGGCAAATAACATGACATGGCAATAAGACTTTTTAAATGCTCTGTGTAGACCACTGTGGTTTTGAAAACATTTCACAGGCAAAAAGCAAACACTGATTCCTTTTGGAAGGTCAACAAATGCTTAATTGGGAGCTGTTGTATTGCTTTTATCATAATTTGAATAAACTAAAAGCTTGCATAAGGCATCTAATACAGTATATTACGATTAGACAGGATTTATGAAAGGGCGCATTGACTTCTGATAACATAATGCTACTTTTCTATATTGAAGAGCAAATCTCTCACCAGTCAGTTTTTTATGTGGCTTTGCTTAGATTCAGAAGTGGCATTTGATCATTTAGAATGAAGCTGTTTCACTTGTCCTTGAACAATCTGGGTTTGGTGACTCATTTAGTAATTTCGTCCATAATCTAGACTTTACCTCTGTAACGTGTTCAGACTAGGAACGTACAGTAATATCCCTTCAGTTTGTATCTGATTGGGCACTCAACAGGGATGTCCACTTTCACCTGGCTGTCTATTAGAGAGCATAGCAACTTTGTTCCCAGTGATATACAGGTATTGAAACATTGTGGTGCTCGTGACAGTCCTTTGTTTCCTCATACAGACCATGTCTTGCAGTTGTGTGCCTCATTACAATCAAAACATACAGTATATCTGGAAGGACTCGCATGGTTGGATTAATTTGTAGGATTTATACAGAGAGCTACAGCTAAATTACATGGTTCAGCTCCACAAACTGTAATCTTGTATAGACGGTTATTAATTTGCAAGCTTTATTTAAATACACCCCTTCAGTAGGCTTCATTTTAGTTCTGTTGTGAGTTCCCTCTTTTCCCCGTTTTGATCTCTGTTGTATTGCAATGATATCATTTAATCTAGATTTTTTGTTCTCAAATAATTCAGCTTGATTTGTAGCTGTAAAATGCCAGTTGTAGGAGAGTTTTCTTCAAACATTTCCTTTTCAGTACCGGAAAACCTCCTATCTGAAGGTGTCGTTCTTCAAGCTAGACGTGACTTTTAACCATCTGATGCGATTGTGTGTCTTTCCAGGGGAAAGTCTGCCTGTCCTAACATTACACTAACGGCACTGATAGAGCGAGAAGCTGCAGTGAGACCTCCACCCCCAATCCCTCACATTAAACAGCAGAGTAATAAGTAAGTCATTGTATTCATCTGTATCTAAAATAACAGAAATGACCAGTTATTGCTATTTTAGTTTTGTTTTTTACAAAATCTTTGGTGGAAGAAATACATTTCATTTTAGTCGTACAATGGAAACATATTTGCACCCAAAAGTTATATGGATAACGTTCTAATTTATAGTGACAGTGCCTTTTGGACCATACCTATGAATCTCTTTATTTTGTGAAATTTCAAAATAGTCCATTCAAATTGTTTTAAACATAATATTTTACTAAAAACCTGAATGTTCAAGCTGTGGATTTTTATGGGTAGGATCAGTTACTAAATGTCTATAAAGACTAAAACTGAAATATGTCTGTTGTATTAGTATAAAGTTTTTAAGTCTCTGCAGATTCTTAGTAATATTCAAGTCAAGATAGTGACCGGGCCATTCAAGGACAATTTTTGTTATTTTCTATTAAAAGTATCATTTAGATTTGGCCTTGTGCTTTGGGTTGTTGTCTTGCTGAATGTTGAATTTTCATTCCATTTTTAACTGTAGCAGACTGAAACTGTTTTTCCCTGAGTGTTTGCCTGGACTTTGCTTCACCAGTTTTTTCTTCAGTTCTAACAAACTTTCCAGTCTATTGAAGATTGAGTAGACTGTGCTCATGGGTATACTCAGAGACTGGTGATATTTTTGTTTCCTTCTATTGATCTTTGCTTTTCAATGACTTTCAATCTCTTTGCTTGCTTTGAAAGCTCCTTTTTGTCTTCATCATTGAATCTGTGGCTTGACATGCTCTACCTGACCAAGGAACCTGACCGAGATAGGTGTTATTCTGAAATAATGCACACAGACACACAGATAATTCTGTAACTTGTTAAGGTAATTCTGTGCACCTATTCGTTGACTTTTCCATTTTTCTTTGAGGTAGAAATAATATCTGTAAATGCCAGTGTTATCCATCAAAATGTCATGACAAGTTTTTAGGCAAAATGTAAAAACTGTATAAGGATCTGTATACCTTTGCAAGACACGGCAATTTTCATTATTTTGTTCATCCCTAGTAATACTGGAAAAGCTTAAATAGGATCATATTAAAACCAAGTGTTTTGGATAATCTGGTCATGTTTTCTGATAGTGATGTACAATGATAGTGTACATCTTAACAGATCGGGATGTTTTTAGTTTTAGAGTTAATCCTCCTCATAGAATTGTAATATTTGTCTCTGGTTATCTACACCATTTGGTAACCTACAGCTCTTAAAAGATAAAAAGAAAACGAATATACAATGCACTCTGGCCTAGTTCATTTTATTGATCTTTTCTGTGTTGGCCTAATATATATTTTAATGTAAATACAACAGTGTGAAAAGTCATAGGTCCTGCATTCTTTAGTCTTTATACAGCTTTTTGGCTTTTAAATGTAATATTCAGGTCTGCTACCTAAGAAGTTTGACTGGAACATTTAATTTCCATTTAGCTGTGATCTGTTAACCCTTAGGGCACATAAACCTTGATATCAGCTCATTAAATCTCATGAGCACAGACATCCTTATACAGTAACTGTCAGTTTGTATTCAGGCACCTTTGGTCTTTTTTTGAAATTCCAATATGCCGTACCTTTGATCTTCAAGCAAAGTGTGTAAAATATGAAAGACTCATTGATCTCTCTGTTAATCTGATAAGGAACATCTTTAAGGCTAAAGGTGTCTTTTTAACAGCAAGCAGTTGCTGTGAATTTTGAGAATTAACATTTTGCATTTGCAATGGACTGGCATCCCATCCATTGCTTGCCAGGATAGACTCCAGCTCCCCACCACCCTGAATTGGAACAAGTGGTTAGAAGATGAGTGAATGGATTATTTTGCATGATCAAAATCCCATATCAGGCATCCCTCGTTTTATACGAGGGTAACCTCGCAAAAAAAGAAATTGCTTAAAGCAGTACCTTAAACCTGCGGGAAAAAGGGGTTGTGTGGAACGGTGTTCCAATTGGATTTCTAATCCTATAAATTCATGCTAACATACATTAAGAACTAAAACTAAACTTGACATATTATTTGGGACATTTTTTTAACAAAAAATAATTGTAGCCATTACAGGTGGTTTGCTAAAGGAGCTGCAGGTTGGCTGTTTAGCAGTCTTATTGCCTGGAGGTAGAAGCTGTTCTGTAGTCTCTTGGACTTGGACCGAATGCTTCGGTACCGTTTACTGGACGGTAGGAGGGAAAACAGTTTGTGACTGGGATGACTGGGGTCCTTGAGAATGGACGTGGCCTTCTTCAGACATCTAGCTGAGTAGATATCCTGGATGTTTGGTAGCTCACAGCCGGTAATGAGCTGCGCTGACTTCACCACCCTCTGCAGCACTTTGCAATCCCAGGCAGAGCAGTTCCCATACCAGGCAGTGATGCAACCAGTCAGGATGCTCTCAATAGAAGTTGGCCTGGATATGTGATGGCATGCCGAACTTCTTTAGCCTGCGGAGAAAGAATAGAGGCTGCCGTGCTGTTTTGACCACGATGCTGGTGTGGTGGGTCCAGGTTAAGTCCTCTGAGATGTTAACTCCCAGGAACTTAAAACTGCTGACCCTCTCCACTGCAGTCCCATTGATGTGGATAGGTGTGTGATCTCCTCCCTGGTGTTTCCTATAGTCCACAATCATCTCCTTAATCTTACTGATGTTCAGAGAGAGGTTGTTCTCCTGGCACCATGCTGCCAGGGTTTCAACCTCCTCCCTGTATGCAGACTCCTCACCATCTGTGATCAGGCCGATGACTGTTGTATCGTCCGTAAACTTAATGATGGAGTTTGAGTTATGCCTGGCGACACAATCATGGGTAAATAAGGATTAGAGGACAGAACTAAGCACACAGCCTTGGGGGGCTCCATTGTTTAGAGTCAGGGTAGAGGATATGTTGCTGCCCACCCTCACCACCTGCGGACGTTCCGTCAAGAAGTCCAGGATCCAATCACAGGGGAGGTGTTCAGTCCCAGGGTCGGGAGCTTGATGACAAGCTTTGAGGGCACTATGGTATTGAATGCTGAGCTGTAATCAACAAACAGCATTCTCACATATGTTCCTTTCTTATCCAGGTGTGAGAGGGCAGTATGGAGGGCAGTGGCAATAGCATCTTCTGTTGACCTGTTCTGGCGATACGCAAATTGCAGTGGTTCTAGGGTGTCGGGCAGTGAGGAGGTGATGTATGCTTTGACCAACCGCTCGAAGCACTTCATGATAACTGATATGAGTGCAACAGGGCGGTAGTCATTTAGGCAACTGACTCTGGGTTTCTTAGGAACAGGAACAATTGTGGTTTTCTTAAAGCAGGAAGGAACTATAGACTGAGCTAGAGAGAGATTTAATATGTCCGAGAAGACATCTGCCAGCTGGTCTGTGCATGCCTTCAGAACACGGCCAGGGATAGCATCAGGGCCAGGAGCCTTGTGTGGATTGGTCTTTTTAAAAACTTTACACACATCCGCTCTGGATATGATCAGTGGGTTTCCGTTTTGGATTTCTGGAATCTTCCTGAATGGATCTGCGTTACTGACCTCAAACCGAGCATAGAATGAATTTAGCTCATCAGGAATAGAGGAAGACCGTTGTGCGATATAGCTGGGTTGCGTTTTGTAGTTTGTAATGGTGCGTATACCACTCCACATGGTCCGTGTGTTGCAGACATGATAATGTGACTCTTATTTTACTCTGTAGTTGTATTTCGCTATTTTGATTGCTTTCCCGAAGTCATATCTGGATTTTTTGTATTTATCCATATCGCCAGAATTGAAAGCAGCTGTCCTAGCTTTCAGGTTTGCGTGTATCTCGCAATTTACTCATCGTTTCTGATTTGGATATGTGCGAACAGTAATCCTGGGAACCACATCTTCAATGTATTTACTGATGTAGCCAGTAACATAGTCCGTATACAGATTGATATTATTTTCGGCAGCTTCGCGGAAGATCTGCCAGTCACTGGTAGCAAAACAGTGATTTAGTATAAAATCCGATTCATCCAATCAACATTGAATGGTTCTTAACGCTGGCCTCTCCTGTTTAAGCTTCTGCTTGTAAACGGGAAGTAGCAGAATGGAGGCATGATCGGATTTGCCGAAAGGAGGTCGGGGGAGGGCTTTGTAACCATCCCGGAAGGTAGGGTAAACATTGTCCGACGTGTTTGTTCCGCGCATCGGGCAGTCGATGTGTTGATGTAGATTAGGCATTGTTTTCTTCAAGTTGGCACCGCTGAAATCACCCGCTATGATGAATGCCCCCTCAGGATGTGTATTCTCCTGTCTGTTAAGTTGAGAGTGTAGTTCATCCAGTGCCTTTGTAAAATTTGCCTGCAGCGGAATATACACCACTGTGAGAACTACCGGTGTGAACTCCCTCGGGAGATAGAAAGGGCGACATTTTATTGTCAAATGTTCAAGATGTGTAGAGCATGATGTTGAAATAATCTCCACGTGTGTGCACCAGGAATCGTTTACCATGAAGCATACCTAGCCGCCTTTGCTCTTACCCAAATCTGTTGTTCTGTCCTGACGGTGAATAGAAAATCCTCCCGGGAGGATAGCAGAGTCCGGAACAGACGGGTCAACCCAGGTTTCAGTGAACACCAGCACATTGCAGTTCTTATTGTCCCATTGGAAAGCAAGCTTTGCTCTCAGATCATCCAGTTTATTGTCCAGTGACTGAACACTAGCAAGAAGTATACTCAGGAGGGGGACACGATTGCTGCCCTGCCTCAATTTTACCAGAACGCCTGCCCGTTTACTCCTCTTCCTACGGCGCCGTCTTCTTCCCAGTACAGGTACAGGTGAGACACCACAGTCCATGTAGTCGGCAGTAATTATTGGTGTAGATTTAACTGTGCCAATATTCGATCTTATGTCTATAAGTGTTTGTCAGTCATATCTAATCACCGAGCAAGCAGTATGTGCAGTTAGCAGTACGAAAAACAACAAAATATAAAGAAATAGACAAAGACGAATGGGAGCTTGCAGGACGGCAGCCTTCCCTGTCAGCGCCATCTTACTTATCTTACTTATGTAGACCTTAAGCTGAATCTAGAATATTTACCATCTATTTATCCACTTTCTAACAGCCTCATCGAATTCAGGGTCGAGGGGAGCCGGAGCCTGTCTTGGAAAGGGGTACAACCTGGACAGGATGCCAGGGCACACATAAACACAAACACGCAAGGCCCCAGCTCAGAGAGGCAGCAATGCCAACCAAAGTGCCACTGTGCTGCCCAAGGGCTTTCTTGTATGTACTGCCCGCTTCAAGTCCCCCCACAGCATTTCTATGAGGTTAAGATCTGGGCTTTGACTTGGCCATTCCATAACGCTCCAATTTTTCTTTTTGAGCCATTTTTTGTGGAATTGTTTGTCTGTAAATCCCTTGATGTTATTCTGGGGCTAGACTTCCTGCAGCATCTTTTTGTCAGCTCTTGGGCTGAATTTGGTGAGACGACCTGGCCTGGATAGATTTCCAGTGATTTGAAATTTTCTCCATTTGTAGTTGATCTTTTGGACAGTGGAGTGATTGACTACAAATTGCTTGGAAATGGCTTTAAAACCCTTCCCAGACTCAAAGGCATCAACAATCTTTCCTCTGAGGGCCTTAGAGAGCTCTTGATCTTGGCAAGATGTAGCCACACACCTCAAATGCTAAGACCAACCAAACCACAGATTTCTGATGTTTATTTAAGACAGTGCCCTCCAAGTTACTCTCTAACAATGTTGTAATCATTTGCACCTGTTTTGGTGCACCTGATTCTAATTTTAGGCATTTGATGCAATGATAAAGGTAGGGGTGTACTAACTTTTTCCACACAAGGAAATTTCTGTTGATTTAAATAGTACAAATGAGTGATTTTTCAATGTGACCTAATTTTAAAAAAATAACCTTTATCTATCAATATTGTTGAAATGACGATCAAATATCTTTTTGTCCCAAACTGTAAAAAAAGATAAACCTTTTCATGGGGTGTATTTACTTTTTCATACTGCTGTAGCTATGTTCTTTTTTTCCGTAATGTTCTTTTCACAGAAAATTATGTAATTCCTTTTATTGGGAAAAGAAACATTTCTAGTTTAATGAGGTATGTTCTCTGACTTGCTTTGTTTCAGGACTGGCAACGGCAGCAGTTGGCACAAGCCCATGCAGGAGAAACCCGTGATTGACTACTTCGATGTTCAGGATTAAAAGAAGTGATTACCGTGAAAAAAGGAATGCATCATTAACGTACATACATAGACATGCTCTGCCAAACAAATACCGAACTGACAGTTTTTTTTGGCCAGATCAAAATGCGAGACTTCCTTCTTTACTGCAGTTGTTTGCAGCAGGGAAGGCACACTGGCTCTGTGCAGTCAAATATTACGGTTTATAGCTTGACCCTCTGTTCTTCCAATTTGTGTGTATTCTTGACCACTTCTTATTGTTGTCATCTCTGTATGGGAGTGAAAACATTATGCCCTATTTAACGGTTAAGTCTATATCATTTGGTACATAGTGACTCCAGAATTGTTGCATGTATGAAAAGATTAATAGGACAGTATTGGAAATGGAACTACCAGTGCATTACCTTAGATTGTTGACTTGGCAATCATTTGTGTGTTGCATTTGATATTTAAGGAAAGCACGACTCCACTAAAGCCTCTTCTGTGCTCAGTCACAATTTTTGCCGAGTCGACAATGTAATTAGTTTTGTTCCTGTAGTCAATTTATCTTTGGTCATTCCTAGTTTGTGTGCTTTAAACTTTGCATTTAATTCTTGCCACGTGCCTTCTTGGGTTTAAATTGGGTGATTTTGGTTTTAGAATCTGTGAATTGTGCTCTGAAGAAACCAGTGATGTTCATTCAGCATAAGTAGTTGTCAAATTACAGATGTCTCTCAGTCCCCATGCCACGGTGCCTTCTTCATACTCAATAGGAAATTATTGTGACTTTCAAGCAGACATTTCTCCCTTACTGTTGAAAAAAACTTTAAAATGTTTCATATACTGTACAACATAATTTGAATTTGACAAATGATGTTTTAGAAATACAGATATTTTAACGGTCTGCGTTTCTTCTGTTTGGCAGCCTCTTTTCACTGTTTTCTAGCTGCACTAAGTTTGTTGGCTGAGCAATAATCATCTTTTACCTTTTTATCAGGCCTCCTTTAATATTATACCACTTATGAAAGTGCCCCAGCTTCAGAATATTAAATATGTCTTTGTCATAATAATAATTCATAATTATAACATAATTCCTAAAATTGACAGATTAAGACTTCCCATCTTCTGAAGTCAACCTAAAGGAGCATTCATTAGTCATATTTCCTACTTAAAATGAACTTGACGTGTCTTTTAAGAGTTGTAACAAGTAAAAGCTATGACAAGGTATGAGGGCAGTTCGGTCTTTGAGTTGGTATACACCTATTATGCTATTGTCACATGAATGGTAAAAGCCTGAATATTTTCTGTATTTGCTGATAACTCGGAGAGCCTCTGCAGATCTGCTGATCAACAGACAATCTGTGGTTGTTTTTAATAATAAAAGGGTGTGGTGCTTTCAGACTTGCCAGTTCAATGTGTGTGGCCTTCTGTTTATCAATTTGCACGTTTGCATCAATTTGTATGATAAAGCTTTCCTGCTTAAGAAATAAAATTTTCTCATATCCAGCAGCCAACAAGCCTGAAGGTGTGTTATTAAATCGGTCTTATTTTGTCAACTAGTTACAGTGCTAAATGAATCCATATCTGAAGATAAAAGTTGTGTGTGAAACATCATTGCCTACTTTAACTGGCTTTCCCATGGATGTAGGTGTTGCAAAATTGTACCCTTTCCACATGTGAGATCCACATTTTTTATCAAAATGACTTCCAGGAGCTTGTCTAAAATATCTCCCATTAAGGAACACTAAATGTATGCATCAGAGTTATTTTTATAATGTTATTATACAGTATATAATGTTATAACTTCATATATCTTGCATATAGTAAAATACTGTATGTAAATTATTTCATCCATATTTGAAAAGGATTTTTAAAAATAGTTTGCAGTAAGCAAATAATTGGTTTAATGTATTAAATATTTTGAATATATTATGCATTAATAATAGAAGTTAATAACATGAATAATAGCAAATTTAGAATGTATACTGTATACAGCATAGTATATACTGTATGAGTAAAATTAGTTTTATTCAATTAGAATTTCTGCTTTTAGAAATGCAACCAACAGTAAATTTAAAATTGTCCAAAATTTATATTTTATTTTAGTTTTGTAATGAACTCTTTGTCACTGAGGAGAGTGCTAAATCATTGTTATTTCAATCAATTGAACCAGAGAGCTAGACAGTATATTTAAGGCTGGTGATTCAGTATGCTGAGAATTGTTTTTAATCGCTGTGGTTGTAACTAGATTATTAAATTCTAATAAAGACAGGGCCTTTGAAAGTAGAATAATGACTACACCAAAATATTGTTTTAAATGTACAGATTATCAACTCTTGAAAAATATATACATACATTTCAAGTATTTTACTGATGTTAAAATATCTTCTTAAAAGATAACTTATCTGAGTTTGTAAGGCATCGTATTTTAATCCACTACAATAAATCAGTTACAGTATGAGCATTCGTCAACATTCAGTAATTCAAAATCTTGTTTGACCTAACTGCAACTTCTTTATTGGTGCTTGTGTGTATATTAAGAATATAAGAAATGTTACAAATGAAAAGTGGCACATCTAGCCTGTTTAGTAGATAATAGTTAATTTAATAGCTAATTTTAATACCTAATTAATCTTAGGATCTCATCCAGCCATTTCTTGAAAGAAGACAGGATACTGACTTCATGCTTTTGTTATCTTACTCAGAAGTTCAAGGATCATTGCAACCTATTAAGGCTCATATTTCATTCTAGAACAGACCAGGGCCTGTATTTAAGTTACCTTAGTGACTAGATGCGAGTCCAATTATTTTGTCAAACATTTCCAGTACACTTAACCCAGTGATATTCATGGTGCACATCTCTAAGGTAACAATGGTGAGAGTACTTAACCTAACCTAAAGTTCTGTTCTGTTCTCATGCGCATGCTGAACACCTGCTAACAGCAGGGGCTTACTTATATACAGTAAAACTCTGGAAAGGACAAAGAAGCTGGTATTCAAACGCTAATGTTTCATCACATACAGTATTAGCTCAAAACGTTTTGCATGAAAATTTAAAACTGAATTTGCCTTAATTTGAAGGTTCTTCGACAATCCCCAGGTGTTTTTGCCTTTTTCTAGGAAGGCAAATGTTTCCCACCTGTGCCAGTGTTGTGTAATTGCTAATCAAAGGTACTGTGGTCATGTGAAAGAATGATTGCTATACTTGATCAGAGTGGTTATCATGCCAATATTTTGCCATGCTATTTGGTGGAGCTACAGTATGCGCAGTAATACCTTGATAGAATAAGAAGATGTGTATAATGAAATCCACTACAGATGGAGTACCCACAATTTCTGGTGTACACAATGAATTTGTGAATGTTTCATTTAGTTTGGGATATCCTTTTACGCGTGGGTGGTGGGGCATCAAATGAAAAGGTGATCGATCTTGTGATAAAAATTGTGGACTGTATAAGAGCCAAGGAATTAAACAGATGTTTTAAGAGCTACTGCAAGAAACAAATTCTTGGTACCTTAATA